GCCCGCTCGCCCGCGCAGGGCGCCGCCCGGCTCGTTGGCGGCCGCGGCGCGGCGCGCCCCATGCCCGTGTGTGGCCATGTCCTACCCGCAGGGCTACTTGTACCAGCCGTCCGCCTCGCTGGCGCTCTACTCTTGCCCGGCGTACAGCACGAGCGTCATCTCGGGGCCCCGCACGGATGAGCTCGGCCGCTCGTCCTCAGGCTCTGCGTTCTCGCCCTACGCTGGCTCTACCGCCTTTACGGCGCCCTCGCCGGGCTACAACTCGCACCTCCAGTACGGCGCCGACCCCGCGGCAGCCGCCGCCGCAGCCTTCTCCTCGTACGTGGTGAGTAGGTTGGATCCGCGGCGGCGAGGGCCATCGGGGCCAAGACAGCGGGAGGGGGCTGCGACTGACCCGGGCCTAGACGCCGCTTGCGGACCCCCCCACCCCCACCCCCGCCAAACCTCGCGGCCCATGCAAACTTGGGCACTGGTCTATCTCGGCGTCGTCCGGGCCTCAGGCTCAGGACTTGCTCCGAAAGAGCCGCGTCTATGTCCGATCGCTGAGCTGGCGGAAGGGTTTTAAAGGGGAGAGGTCCTGGCAATTAAAGACAGCCTTTGAGTCAAACATAAATTCGGGAGCCCCTTGCAATTTTTATTTATTTATTTGGTTTTACCATTTTGGAAAAGTTCAAAAGAAACAGAACCGAAATCTAAACAGAAGTGTGCTAAATCTATGTAAATGTTTTGGCCTCGCCTTTAATTAATCCTCCAAAATGTTGCAAATCCGTAATCCTATCTTGGCAATCCGATTTGGAGGTATTAAATTTCTGAAAAGTCGACGGAGCTGCGGTGCATCCGGGATTTTTTTTTTCGGCCGGGTCTACTTTCTGGAAATAGCGCTTGTGGCTTTGGTTTGGGATAGCATTTTTGGAGGGTGGGCGCGGTGGGTAAGGTTCAGCCTTTCTTTTGCATTTGTTGTCGGATTAAAATAAAAGAAAAGCGAGCTTTGATTTCCCTTGTTCAACCCCTTTGCACCCAACTTGCACGCCTTGTTCCCCAGGCCTCTATCTGGATGGAGGGCCGGGCCGCGGAGCCCAGATCTGCTCATAGGGCTCCGATATCCATGTTCAGGACAGATGGGGTCCTAACATGGTGTCCACCTTGGGATAGTTTAAAGGGTCCCCGATAGAGGAGATGCTGTAATTGGAGTCCCTTCTGCCCTCTTATAAAGGGAAGAGGTTACTCTTGGGTCTGAATGAGCCAGCTCTGCCCCAGGGGCAGCTGGAGTGTGGGCCTCGCCCACCCTCCCACCCGCAGACCCCAGGGCACAGGGCAAGTGGAGCTTCAGGTGTACAAGTGACAGGGGAGATTAACGTCCACACTCACCTTCTCTCTGCCTGTCCCCTGCAGGGCTCTCCCTATGACCACACACCCGGCATGGCGGGCTCCTTGGGGTACCACCCATACGCGGCACCCCTGGGCTCATACCCGTATGGGGACCCCGCGTACCGGAAAAACGCCACCAGGGACGCCACCGCCACGCTCAAGGCCTGGCTCAACGAGCACCGCAAGAACCCCTACCCCACCAAGGGTGAGAAGATCATGCTGGCCATCATCACCAAGATGACCCTCACCCAGGTGTCCACCTGGTTCGCCAACGCGCGCCGGAGACTCAAGAAGGAGAACAAGATGACGTGGACGCCGCGGAACCGCAGCGAGGACGAAGAGGAAGAGGAGAACATTGACCTGGAAAAGAATGACGAGGACGAGCCCCAAAAGCTCGAAGACAAGGGCGACTCTGAGGGCCCTGAAGCAGGTTGGTGGATGCGGGAAAGGGTATGTTGAGCTGAAGTTTTAAAAGAGAGAGAGAGAGAGAGAGAGAGAGAGAGAGAGAGAGAGAGAGAGAGAAATGGGGGCCTGGAGGGGGCGCGCGCGGGGCCCAGAGGTTGGGGACGAGGGTCTCTGCCTGGAAGGCTAGCTGGAACCCGGGCCGGGTTGCTCGGCTTCTGTGCCCTTGACAGCCTGGGTCTCGCCCACAGGCGGAGCGGAGCAGAAGGCCGCTTCGGGCTGTGAAAGGCTGCCGGGGCCGCCCACCCCCGCCGGCAAAGAGACTGAAGGCAGCCTCAGCGACTCGGATTTTAAGGAGCCGCCTTCGGAGGGCCGCCACGACGCGCTGCCTGGGCCCCCCCGCGCCGGCGGGCCCTCCCCGGCTGGGCCAGCGGTGGCGCGGCTGGCAGAGGACCCGGCTCCTCACTATCCCGCGGGCGCGCCGGCACTGGGCCCGCACCCTTCCGCGGGAGAGCTGCCCCCAGGTCCCGGCGGGCCCTCGGTCATCCACTCGCCGCCACCGCCACCGCCGCCTGCGGTCCTTGCCAAGCCCAAACTGTGGTCTTTGGCCGAGATCGCCACATCCTCGGACAAAGTCAAGGAAGGGGGCGGCGGGAGCGAGGGATCTCCGTGCCCACCGTGCCCTGGCCCTGTAGCAGGGCAAGCCCTGGGAGGGAGCCGCGCATCACCAGCGCCCGCGCCTTCGCGCTCGCCCTCGGCACAGTGTCCCTTCCCTGGCGGGACGGTGCTGTCCCGGCCCCTCTACTACACTGCACCCTTCTATCCTGGCTACACGAACTATGGATCCTTTGGACACCTTCATGGCCACCCTGGGCCCGGGGCAGGCCCTACTACAGGTCCGGGCTCTCATTTCAATGGATTAAACCAGACCGTGTTGAATCGAGCGGACGCTTTGGCTAAAGACCCGAAAATGTTGCGGAGCCAGTCTCAGCTAGACCTCTGCAAAGACTCTCCCTATGAATTGAAGAAAGGTATGTCCGACATTTAACGCGGGCTGCGTCGGGCTGTCCCGGACTTTCCTAATTTATTAAAAACATGGCCTTGGCAGTTATTTTTCCATCATCAAGAAAGAGAGAGAAATAATAAACTACCCTTCCTATTCAAAAGTTTATAGTTTATGGAGATGGATGACATAAAAATGTAAACATCTCCACACAGAAAAAAAAGTCTTAACCAACAGAAAAGAAAAAAACTAAAAAAAGGATTTGTATTAAATCTTATTCTGTATATTTAATGTAGCATTTTTGTATTTAAATTGATAATTCAATATCTTTGAAGTAAATTATGAAATCAAGACACCTGTACAGGCATTTAATGTTTTTTGTAATATAAATATATACATTTGTGTTTCCCTCAAAACTGTTTCATAGTTTAAAAATACAAGTTTAATTTAATTTTTTACACCTATTGATTTTTTTTCTGGGTATGAGCTAAAGTATTATTGCAGAAAGGAAACAGGTTATACTCTTAGATTTAAAAAGTAAGAGAAACTGCAGCCGCCTTTGTAAAAATGCAAAATATTTAATTAAAAGAGATTTTAACATAATCAGAGCCACTTATTACTTTTTAGAAGCTTCAATAAACTGTCCATTGCCTTGGTCTAAAGATGCAACTGCAACTTTTTTCGAGGTGGGGAATGAAAGATTCCACCGACTCTCAGTGTGCCAGGGGAAAACCATAATTAGGCTAGAAGCCCCGGGGAGCCCAGCCCTGCCCGGGAATGCGGATTTGGGTCACTGATGAGGGCTGCTTGGGGGGACATTGGACCCGGGAGAAAGAAGAGAGACCCAAGTGTGTGCCCAGAAGGGAGGAAAGATGGCAAAGCAAGCTAGAGACACGCACTACTCAAGCGCCATCGCTTAACCTAATTACTTCCAATCAGTGTCGTGTTTTATGCAAAGCAATCAGCTGGTGAACTTTGCTAATGAGTTCGATTTTATGCCGGATTTAGCCCTTATTACTATTTCAAAGGTGCTGCTGGCTGATGCAGGCAGGGAGCGTTAGGGGACGCCAAGGGGAAGGCTTTCCCAAGTCACTGTCTTCTCTACCCCTTCAAAATTGGGCATTGATCTCTTCTTTGGATTTGATTAAATTAGTGAACGATCCATCCAAGACGGCACGGGTGGCGGGCGGCCCTGTAGATGCCCGCGCAACCTCCAGCCAGGGGACGGTTCCCCCCTTTCACAGGTAGGTGTCACACTTGTCCTGAATTTCGAGCCTGCACTTCGCGGAGACCAGAGACTGGGAGGCAGTGGGAGGAGGGAGCTACCACGGAGACTTGGAG